TTCTGTTAAAATCTTAAAAATACCGAATGCCTATACGACGACGTGGACCTGCATAGTCAACTTTTGTCATAAGTTATTGCAATATTTTCAATGCGAAACTTGAAGAAAAATCTGTTTATAATGTAGCTAAAATCATCAAAATACCGAATATAGGGGGTGCCGTTACATGGGGGCTATACGAAGACCTGGACCTACACAGACAATTTTCTGGCATGGGCTGAAGTATCCATTATGAACTTCGCATTCGAAATTTAAAACAATCCCGGTAAATAATGTCGCTAAAATCATCAAAATACCGAATATCGGGGGGTGCCGTTATATGTGGGGGTATATGAAGACGTGGACCTACATGGTCCATTTTTGTTTTATGCTGCAGTATCTATAATGAACTTCAGATACCAAATTTGTTATGATTCCGTTAAATAATGTCGCTAAAATCATCAAAATACCGAATATTGGGGGGTACGGTATATGGGTGCTAAAATTTCTTTAAAAAATCCACTTTACTTTAACAGTTGGTCCTTTGGAACATTTCTTTAAAAAATCCACGTTTCTTTAACAGTTGGTCCTTTGGAAAATTTCATTAACAAATCCCCGTTTATAGCCTTGATGGTCCTTTGGAAAAATTCTTTAAAAAATCCACGTTTATAGCCTTGATGGTCCTTTGGAAAAATTCTTTAAAAAATCCACGTTTATAGCCTTGATGGTCCTTTGGAAAAATTCTTTAAAAAATCCACGTTTATAGCCTTGATGGTTCTTTGGAAAAATTCTTTAAAAAATCCACGTTTATAGCCTTGATGATCCTTTGGAAAAATTCTTAAAAAAATCCACGTTTATAGCCTTGATGGTCCTTTGGAAAAATTCTTTAAAAAATCCACGTTTATAGCCTTGATGGTCCTTTGGAAAAATTCTTTAAAAAATCCCCGTTTATAGCCTTGATGGTTTCTTTGGAAAAATTCTTTAAAAAATCCACGTTTATAGCCTTGATGGTCCTTTGGAAAAATTCTTTAAAAAATCCACGTTTATAGCCTTGATGGTCCTTTGGAAAAATTCTTTAAAAAATCCACTTTTATAGCCTTGATGGTCCTTTGGAAAAATTCTTTAAAAAATCCACGTTTATAGCCTTGATGGTCCTTTGGAAAAAATCTTTAAAAAATCCACGTTTATAGCCTTGATGGTCCTTTGGAAAATTTCTTTAAAAAATCCACGTTTATAGCCTTTGGAAAATTTCTTTAAAAAATCCACGCTTATAGCCTTTGGAAAATTTCTTTAAAAAATCCACGTTTATTGGTTGGATGGTCCTTTGGAAAATTTCTTTAAAAATCCACGTTTCTTTAACAGTTGGTCCTTTGGAAAATTTCTTTAAAAATCCACGTTTCTTTAACAGTTAGCCCTTTGGAAAATTTCTTTAAAAAATCCACGTTTCTTTAAAAGTTGGATTAGCATGGCTCATTTTTTGACTTAGGATGTAGTATCCATTACAAACTTCAAGTACCACATTTGAAACGATTCAGGTAAATAATGTCGCTAAAATCATCAAAATACCAAATATCGGGGGTGTTGGGTCTGACATGAGTATTTCGAGGAGTTACAAACGGAATGACAAAATTAATATACCCTCCATAGTATGGTGGAGGGTATAATAATTGTAATCTGTTCTTCTGAATTTAAAATCCTAGAAGGCACTAGAAATTTTGAAAATATGTTTTGTTAAGATCAAATAATCAAATAGTTATTCCAAGAATGTCAACTTTGTCACAGGAAACAAATTTTCTTAACCGTTTCCATTCAGAAATTCTGGTATATATCCTTTTATATTTTTTTTACATCCACATAACAATTACTTCCCTAAATTTCCAGTTGACCCTCGTCTACGTCAACACAACATCCCACTTCCTGTGATTATTTGTCCACGCTTATTTGATAATGCCATAAAAAACAACAAAGAAACAACATTCAAATTCGAAATGTTCTCTCTTCGCCATTTCCATTTGATTCCACGTGTTATTTCTATTAAATCACAAATGGAAACAATGCTCGTTGTCCACCAAAGTTTGTTGTTCGCCAGATACCAACCGACATTCTCTTAGTAACTCCCCTTCCCTTGCCACTGGTCAAGCTATGTTAGTTTTTTTTTTTCATTCGGGCATTATTCAACGCTGCGTTAGCATGAATGTGATGAGGAAAAATGGAATTTAATAAAAATACGAAAAAAAGAAGAATCGAATTGGCATTTCAACGAGGCAGCTGCTGCCCATGCCAATGCCCATTCCCCAGGATGGCTGCTGGTCCTCTGTTATCACAACAAAGGACACGCACTAAACGCGTGCTTTTGTTGTCATCGCCGTTTGGTGTTTCATAAAGTTATGGGCGTGTGTGTGTGAGAGAGAGAGGGAGAGAGCTTGTCTCCCAAATCCTGGTATTCTGCAATGTCTGCGAAAGTTGTATTTTTTTGCCATTCTGATGATGATAAGGATGGTCATGAGGCATGCTTGGTTGATGGCGTTCATAATGATGAATTCGTGGTTCCATCATCAGCCAGCAAAAAAATGGAAAAAAACGACGAATAAGCACCATTAGGCCATTAGTCATTTGGCATTTATTAACATTTTTGATGAAGCTATTCTTTTATTCAAACCGGAAACCGGAGCCATAGTCCAGACTACAAACCAAAGCCGAACAGAAGAGAAGAGAACAAAACAAAACAGAAAAAAGTGAACAGTTCAAAAAGGCATATGCCGGAGATTGCACAACCAACATCCCTACAATTTTCAATGTCTGGCTGGATGACTGACTGTCTGTGTGGCCGCCTGGCCATCCCCATGATTGGACTGGACGAAATGGCTTTTGTGGAATTTGCATATATTAACACAACTCAACTCAAAAAGCGACAATGGAAAAAAGTGCAACACAATCGCCCGGCCAAAGTTCGTGTTGGAAAAAGTGATGGCAAATGGCGTTGACATTTCATCCGGCGACAGGCACTTAAAATGGTCCAATGAAGAAACTGCGTAGCACTTAGCCCTCATCGCATCCAAAAAAGAAAATGGAGGAAAAAATAGGCTGATCCCAATTTCATTTCTAGCCATATGTCTTTATTTAAGTGGCGACTGGAGTTTGCTTTTCGCCGAAGATAATCTTATTAATTTTTTTCGTGTTGTTGTTATTGTAGTTTTCCATTTGTGCAGAGGGAAATCATTCCAAAGGGGGAGGTAATCTCGTTTATGAATCGAAAAATGCTGAATAATTTGTGGTCAATCAGGTTTGTTGTTTTAGCTAAGCCGACATAAAATAGATTTTTAATGGCGTGGCATGGAAATGGGAGACATAAATTTATGACAGTGGAGGGGAGGAACTGGAGGTCCTTTCTCTGAGGTCCCTTTTTCCCATAGGGGAAAAAACTCGACCTCAGTTTTCAGAGGTTGTTTTCTCTCCATTGCGGAAAAAACTCGACCTCAGTTCTCTGAGGTCCTCTTTTTCCCATAAGGGAAAAAACTCGACCTCAGTTCTCTGAGGTCCTCTTTTTCCCATAGGGGGGAAAAAACTCGACCTCAGTTCTCTGAGGTCCTGTTTTCTCCATATGGGGAAAAAACTCGACCTCAGTTCTCTGAGGTCCGCTTTTCCCCATAGGGGTGAAAAAACTCGACCTCAGTTCTCTGAGGTCCTCTTTTTCCCATAGGGGTGAAAAAACTCGACCTCAGTTCTCTGAGGTCCTCTTTTCCTCATGGGGGGAAAAAACTCGACCTCAGTTCGCTGAGGTCCTCTTTTCCCCATAGGGGGAAAAAAAACTCGACCTCAGTTCGCTGAGTTCCTCTTTTCCTCATGGGGGGAAAAAACTCGACCTCAGTTCGCTGAGGTCCTCTTTTCCCCATAGGGGGGAAAAAACTCGACCTCAGTTCGCTGAGGTCCTCTTTTCCCCATAGGGGGGGAAAAACTCGACCTCAGTTCGCTGAGGTCCTCTTTTCCCCATAGGGGGGGAAAAAACTCGACCTCAGTTCGCTGAGGTCCTCTTTTCCCCATAGGGGGGGAAAAAACTCGACCTCAGTTCGCTGAGGTCCTCTTTTCCCCATAGGGGGGGAAAAAACTCGACCTCAGTTCGCTGAGGTCCTCTTTTCCCCATAGGGGGGGAAAAAACTCGACCTCAGTTCGCTGAGGTCCTCTTTTCCCCATAGGGGGGAAAAAACTCGACCTCAGTTCGCTGAGGTCCTCTTTTCCCCATGGGGGGGGGGAAACTCGACCTCAGTTCGCTGAGGTCCCTTTAACCCACAAGAGAAAAAACTCGACCTCAGTTCTCTGAGGTCCTTTTTTTCCCATAGGGGAAGAAACTCGATCTCAATTTTCTGACTTAATCACAATATTTTTGAAGGACCTTCTTACATATAAATTGGATTTTATCACAATATATTTTCAAGGACCTTCTCACCTATAAACGTGGATTTTATCAAAATATTTTTTCAAGGACCTTCACACCTATAAACGTGGATTTATCAAAATATTTTTTTAAGGACCTTCACGCCTATAAACGTGGATTTTATCAAAATATTTTTTAAGGACCTTCTCACCTATAAACGTGGAATTTATCAAAATATTTTTTCAAGGACCTTCACACCTATAAACGTGGATTTTATCAAAATATTTTTTCAAGGACCTTCACACCTATAAACGTGGATTTTATCAAAATATTTTTTCAAGGACCTTCACACCTATAAACGTGCATTTTATCAAAATATTTTTTCAAGGACCTTCACACCTATAAACGTGGATTTTATCAAAATATTTTTTCAAGGACCTTCACACCTATAAACGTGGATTTTATCAAGCATCTTCTGAAACTTTACGAACCCATAGGAAAAATTGCCTCTGTATCTTTTTTTTAGAAAATGTACGAACTCAATACATGTTTTAGAGTAATACGACATCCGAAACTGAGAGGGAACATTTTACGATTCTCAGTACCAGGGCCCTCACTGTCACGTAATGTTATAAAAAATCAATTACAATACATTTTTTTAATCTAAATATATTTAGTATTTATAAAATATACAAAAGGCAATATCGTATATTTTCAGGATTCATAACATAGCTCATCAAGTTCAGTCGATATTCCTGGATCATCATCCTAATAACTCAATTGACACAGCAGAGCCGTACCCCGTATTATCCAATGTGAGGTCTCTGTTTTGGGATTACATTCCAGTAGCATGGCCACCACAAAATTGGTACTATGACCCGTTGTGGAGAGTACACCCCTACGCTCCGCCGTCTTATACAAAGGACAAACATAAACATGACGTTCCTTTAAATCCGATTTTTTCACCGGCTTCATCCATATCAGTGGCATGCGATCGAATAACTCCCTTGGATGGGATTCAGCTAAATAATTTTCAACACGATCCCAGCGAGCTCCCTCCAAGAATATACCATAAACATAAACCCCATCTGCAGGAGCTGTCATTTCGCCAGCCTGGTCTTCTTCGATGCGTAAAACTTCATAGTCGAACACTAGTAAATCAATTGGTATCACATATTTTCGGGCGAAATTCTGCTGGGCTCCCGTCAGGAAAGCCTGCGTAAAGAAGAAGCCGGATAGCCAGAATGTTGAGGGTGGTCCCTCGTCGTACCATTTCTGAAAGGAGAAAAAGACACACGAATTTTTAATATTTTTATAAAGTTACAAAAAAAATATTTTTATAACTTTTCATAGGACCTTCTAAGCTATAAACGTCGTTTTGTAAATAATATTTTTTAAAAAATATTTTACCAAGGACCTCCTGGATTTTTAACAATATTTTTCAAGGACCATCCAAGCTATATTTTAACAATATGTTCTAAAGATCCTTCCGATCTACAAACGTGATTTTTTTTTAATAAAAATTTTTTAAGGACCTTCGTAGTTCTTTTAATAAAAATTGTTCAAGGATCTTATGATCAACAGATGTCGATTTTTTAACAAAATTTTTTCAAGGACCTTATGACCTAAAAACGTGTATTTTCCCTTTTAAGCTATAAAGATGATTTTTTTAACATTATTTTTTCAAGGATCTTTTCAGCTATAAACGTGATTTTTCAATACATATTTTCAAGGACCTTATGACTTTCAACCGTGGATTTTTAATGAAATTTTTTCAAGGACCTTATGACCTACAAACGTGAATTTTTTAATAAAAATTTTTCAATGACCTTAGGCCCTACAAATGTGGATTTTTAATAAAGTTTTTTTCAAATACCTTATGACCTACAGGCATGGATTTTTAATACAACTTTTTCAAGGACTTTATGACCTACAGGGATTGATTTTTAATACAATTTTTTCAAGGACCTTATGACCTACAAATGTTGATTTTTTAATTTTTTTTTTCAAGGACCTTATGACCTTCTTACTCGGATTTTTAAATATTTTTTTCGAGGATCTTCTAAGCTATCAACGTGGAATTTTTTGATAAAAGTTTGTTCAAGGACTTCTAAATCTATAAACGTGTATTTTTTAACAATATTTTTTCAAGAAACTTCTAAGGTATAAACTTGGAATTTTTAATAAAATTTTTTCAAGGACCTACTAAGCCATAAACGTGGATTTTATAATAAAACTTTTTCAAGGACCTACTAAGCCATAAACGTGAATTTTACAATAATTTTTTTTCAAGGACTTTCTAAGCCATAAACGTGTATTTTATAATAATTTTTTTTTCAAGGACCCTCTAAGCCATAAACGTGGATTTTATAATAAAATTTTTCCAAGGACCATCTAAGCTATAAACGTGGATTTTTAAAGAATATTTTTCAAGGACAATCCAAGCTATAAACGTGGATTTTATAATAAAATTTGTTCAAGGACCTTCTAAGCCATAAATGTGGATTTTATAATAAAATTTTTTCAAGAACCATCTAAGCTATAAACGTGGATTTTTAAAGAATATTTTTCAAGGATCTTCTAAGCTATAAACGTGGATTTTTAAAAAATATTTTTTTAAGGACCTTCTAAGCTATAAACGTGGATTTTTAAAGAATATTTTTTCAAGGACCTTCTAAGCTACAAACGTGGATTTTTAAAGAATATTTTTTCAAGGACCTGCTAAGCTACAATCGTGGATTTTTAAATAATATTTTTTCAAGGACCTTAAAAATTATAAACTTGGATTTTTAAATAATATTTTCTAAACGCGGATTTTTAAATAATATTTTTTCAAGGACCTTCTAAGCTACAAACGTGGATTTTTAAATAATATTTTTTCAAGGACCTTCTAAGCTACAAACGTGGATTTTTAAATAATATTTTTTCAAGGACCTTCTAAGCTACAAACGTGGATTTTAAAATAATATTTTTTCAAGGACCTTAAAAATTATAAACTTGGATTTTTAAATAATATTTTATAAACGCGGATTTTTAAAGGATATTTTTTCAAGGACCATCCAAGCAATGAACGTGGATTTTTAAGGAATATTTTTTCAAGGACCTAAATAAACGTGGATTTTTAAATAATATTTTTCAAGGACCTATCTAAACGCGGATTTTTAAAGAATTTTTTAAGGACCATGCAAGCTATAAACTTGGATTTTTAAAGGATATTTTTTCAAGGACCTATATAAACGTGGATTTTTAAGGAATATTTTTTCAAGGACCTAAATAAACGTAGATTTTTAAATAATATTTTTCAAGGACCTATCTAAACTCGGATTTTTAAAGAATTTTTTAAGGACCATGCAAGCTATAAACTTGGATTTTTAAAGGATATTTTTCAAGGACCTCTATAAACGTGGATTTTTAAGGAATATTTTTCATGGAGCTTCTAAGGTATAAACGTGGATTTTTTTAGCAATATTTTTCAAGGACCTCCTAAGGTATAAACGTGGATTTTTTAACAGTATTTTTTCAAGGACATTCTAGACTAAAATTAAAATAAATAAAATTTTTGTCAATTTTTTTTCAAGGGCTTTTGAGACTCTAAATGTGGATTTAAATATTTTTTAAGGACCTTCTTTGCTATAAATGTGTATTTTTAACAATATTTTTTTAAGCACCTTCTAAGCTATAAACGTGGATTTGTGAAAAAAAAATTTCAAGGGCCTTTTGCTCTTATTTTCATTTAATTTACCCATAATTAATGTCACTGCAGATTATCTTTTCCATGTCTGTTTCCTGCCGGGGAATATCACTGCCACTGGTGATAAATCTCTAGAGGGAAAAACAAGTCATTCAATATTAATTAACAGCATGTTTACATTTAATACAAATTACATGCCAAGCTCTCTTCCTTCCCATCTCTTATACAGACACATTTACATAGGGAACATGGCATTTCCGTAGAATTACACTAATGAACCTATCACAGGCGGGCGGAACTGCCACCCATCACCCCACCTAAATAAACAACAAATGTTGCCAAGTAACCTGGGGAAATTGGCTTTCCACTTTTCACTTACCTGCAAAAATGCCAAACGTCGCAGAAAATCTGTGATATAGGCACCCAGAGGCTTTAAACTTGGATAGGATTTGGCAGCCCACATAGCTGGTATGCGGCTAATTAAAATGGACTTATAGACGGCCTCGTATTGAGCGGACATTACCACCAAACCTGAAAATGCAAGAAAAATAAATATTTAAATTTATAAAGGTCAAATTGGAGGAGATATGGCAACAGTGGCATAAAGAAAAGTAAACAAAATAAAAAAAAACAAAAATAACTGATACCGAATGATAGGCGAAAAACGAAATGGTAAAAATGTCATTACAGCAAATTGAAGTTTAAATATTTAATACGTGCATGTGTGTGTGTTTGTATTTTTTCTCCCCCGCCCAACTCTCCACGGACATTTTGCATTGGATTTAGATCAACGGGGGGAGAAGGACATTTAAGCTTTTAATTTGGCAAAGTTTATCGGCAAAAAAGAAGAACCAAATTAAGGTCATAAGAAACTAAACTAAGAAAGCAGTAAACGGAAACCAATCTCCTGCACCCTCAACCCTTCAGCGAAATAAAAAGGAAACGGAAAAGTCTTGAAACTCACCCCAATAGAAAACCCCAAGCCTATAGCCAATATTTAGCCAATTTTGTCAATGGTAAAAATGCCAATTAAGGAAATCCCAGTAAAGCCGGCCAAAGGGTCAAACTATTCGACTGATAGCCATTATGGAATGACGAGAATGCCAAATGGCAATAACAGGAAACCCATACCACCAGCAACAATAACGACAACAACAAATGACCAGCAGAACAAGAATTTGAAAAATAAAATCGTAATCAACTATGAAAATATGTTTGTCTCAACTTCAAATACCAATTTACCTTATGTTGATGAGGATGGCAATGGAAACGGTCAAGATACTCCAGGGAGATGGATGAATGATAAGAATCATGACGATGATGGTGGTAGCCTACATAGTCAGGGAAGTAATGGAAAGGCCAAAACCAGGAGATTGTCTGGAGGTAAGAGATTTTAAAAAAATTCAAATTGCTATAGACGGAAAGCCAAGAAGAGGTATTCTATGAAAAGGTGGCCATTGAATGTTTTTTAAAGAATTCTGCCTAATATTGAAGATTTTGAAAATAGATTCACGTAGGAGACCTTCGAAAAATCTTCCGAAGAAAGAAACATAGATTTTTTACAATATTTTTTCAAGGACCTTGTAAGCAAAAAACGGTGGTTTATAAATAATGTGTTTAAAGGGCCTTTTGAACTATACCCTCGGATTTTTAACACTATTATAAGCCATTAATGTGGAGTTTTAACCAAGATTTTTCAAGAATCTCGTAAGTTATAAAGTTGCATTTCTACCAATATTTTTTCAAGGACCTTCTAAGCTTTTTAACAATATTTTTCAAGGACCTTTTAAGCTAATAACGTGGATTTTTTTTAATAATATTTTTTCAAAGACCTTCTAAGCTAAAAAAGTGGATATTATCAACAATATTTTTTCAAGGACCTTCTAAGCGTGGATTTTTAAAAATATTTTTTTCAAGGACCTTCTAGGCGTTGATTTTTAAAAATATTTTTAAGGACCTTCTAAGCGTGGATCTTTCAAAATATTTTTCCAAGAACCTTTTAAGCTTGGATTTTTCAAAATATTTTCCAAGGACCTTCTAAGCGTGGATATTTCAAAATATTTTTCCAGGGACCCTCTAAGCGTGGATTTTTAAATAAAAAGTTTTTCCAAGGACCTTCTAAGCGTGAATTTTTAAAAATATTTTTCCAAGGACCTTCTAAGCGTGAATTTTTAAAAATATTTTTCCAAGGACCTTCTAGACGTGGATTTTTAAAAAATATTTTCCAAGGACATTCTAAGCGTGGATATCTAAAAATATATTTTTCAAAGACTTTTTAAGCGTGGATTTAAAAAAAAAATTAAGGACCTTCTAAGCTTGGTTTTTTTCAAAAAATTTTTCCAAGGACCTTCTAAGCTATAAACGTAAACTTTTCAAAAATATTTTTCCAAGGACATTCTAAGCGTGGATCTTTCAAAATATTTTTTCAAGGACCTTCTAAGCGTGGAATTTTAAACATATTTTTCCAAGGACCTTTTAAGCGTGGATTTTTAACAATATTTTCTTAAGGAAGGAAAAGATGGTAAATCTTCAAAAGGAGTTCCTACATATTGAAGACTTTCAGAAGTTTTTCAAAATAAATAAGTCCTTACAATATCATCTAAAATAGAAGAATCTGTCACATATTTAGAAGGCATTCAACGGATCTTCTACAGACAGAATACAAATCAAAATTCTTTTAAAGATAAAAGACATTCCAAAGTCGTCAATAGGCTGTAGTTCTTCAAAGGTTCTTCTATACAAAGAAGATTAGCAAGCTACCTTCCAAGGTGACATCATCTTAAAAAAAAACATTTTTATGGTTTCCTACATTTAGATGACCTTCACAGGACGATTCTCATAACGACTTTAGTAAATAGAAGGCCTTTGAAACATCAACAGGTATAAGACTATCAACAGATCTTCAGAAAAGAAAAGCCCAATAGGGTATTTTTCAAAACGCCCCTTACAGATAGAATATCTTCCAAGGGACTTTTATATAAACAAGAATCTTCAATTAAAGGACCTTTGAAACCCTTCTACAATTAAAATTTCTTGAGAATATAATCTACCAATAGAAGGTTTTTTAAATATCTTCTCAAAGAACACCTTGAAAAGGTTATTTATAAATTATTATCTTATAAAATGCCTACAATGGATAGAATATCTTAGAGGAGAGAAAGACTTTCTACGTGCAATTCAAATATCATTACCAGTGAAGGCTCCCAAAAGGAATTATACAGATGGAAGAGGTCCTTTAAAGACAAAAGACCTTCCAAGGGCCTTCTACTTACAAACTAATCTCAGAAGATAGAAGCCTCTCAAAAAATCATCTAAAGAGAAGGGCTTTCATAGGGAGAATACTATCAGCTATCATTCCATATAAAAAGAAAACTTCAATGGCAAAAGCTCTGATAAGCCTGACCCAAATTAAAGTCTCAAAGACTAAACGGACCTTCTGAGTTTAAATAAATGCAAAGATCTTCTATTTTACAGACAGAAGACTTTTACAAAACGTCTGCAATGGATAGAATAACTCTAAGAGGTCCTTTAAAGAAACAAGTAAAATAGCTGTAAGTTCGGCCAGGCCGAACTTTGAATACCCTCCACCATTTGGATACCCTCCACCATTAAAATAAATAAAATGTAGCCGTCATATTAGGATCAATACGCCATAAGCCATTACAATATTCAAATGCGAAACTTGAAAATAAATCGTTGAAAAAAATTAAATCATCAATATAGGGAGGTACTCTTATATGGGGGCTATACCAAAATATGGACCTGCACAGACAATTTCCTGTCTTAGGCTGTAGTCTCCGTTACGAACTTCAACTACCATATTTGAAACATTTCCGGTGAATAATGTCGATAAAATCATCAAAATACCGAATATCGGGAGGTACCGTTATATGGAGGCTATAAGAAGACGAGGACCGGCACGGACAATCTCCTGTCATAGTCTGTAGTATCCATTACGAACTTTAAATACCAAATTTGAAACAATTCCGGTGAGTAATGTCGCTAAAATCAACAAAGTACCAAATTTCGTGAGGTACCGTTATATTGGAGCTATATGGAGACCTGGACCTGCACAGACAATTTTCCGTCATAGGTTGTAGTATCCATTACGAACTTCAAATACCAAATTTGAAACAATTCCGGTGAATAATGTCGCTAAAATCATCAAAATACCGCAAATATGGAAGTACTCTTATATGGGGACTATACCAAAACTTGGACCTACATGGCCCATTTTATACCAAAATACCAAAAGTCCTGCAGACATAATATACATTTGTAAAATGTTATCAATCTACTTTATTTTGTTCGGAAGCTAGAGTGATTTCCACAGACGGACAGATAGACGGACGGACATCGCTATTTCGACATAGAATTTTATGCTGATCAAGAATATATATACTATGTAGGGTCTAAAGGAATGACAATCTTAATGTACCCTCCATATTATGGTGGAGGGAATAAAAACACTTTTAAAGGGTCTTCATACAGAAGAATCTCAGAAGGTCCTCCATAAAGGAAAGCAATTTAAAAGTTCGTCAAAGATAGAAGCCTATCAAAAGATGAAGGCCTCTAAAAGGAATTTTACAGATGAAATACTATCAAAAGGACTTTCATATAATGCTACCTCCTGATTTTCGGGTCTTTCGGAGATTCCCGTCCCAATTTTCCCGAAATTAGCCACAATTTGGTGGATTTACTGCTAGAAAAAAAATTCTCATTGAAGGACCACTCCTCCTGATTATCGATATTTTTAGGGATTCACTGTCAATTTTCAAACAACCCAGCTTCAAAATGGCACTTCGGAATCTCTGTGGATACATAACCTCCTCTCCAAATATAATAAATGTCCCCAAAAAAATTATACCGCCGTATTTTTGAGATTTTGGAGGTATTGCTACGATGTAATTTGATGTTTCAGCTTCTAAGGTTAATTTAAAATTATCCTTAAAAATCCTATTACAAAATCCAACAACCCCCATAAAACGGTGCTTCCAAATTTTAGTGGCTTGGAGTGTATTCCATTTGGCCATAAGACAAGTATTTAAAAATATTCGACCCAGTTGAACTTAAAGTAATTTTTTATTTCTTTTTTCTCATCTCTGACACTATCTAGGAGCAACGCGTGGCCAGCAGAAACTCGACAAACTACTCTCAATATCGCCCAGTCAATGTGAAATCAAAGCACCTGGCATGAGTTACTTTGAACCAAAGCCAAAGGTCAATATCATCAGCCTTTCAATGATGAAAACGAAGGAAATGAAGAAAAGTCATCAACGATGCGATTTGAGGAAAATGCAAACAAAAGCTCGTTCACCCAGCCGCAGGACACGTGGCACACAGTCGTTGTATCGGTGAGTTCATAATATGCATGGGGTTTTTTTTGGGAGTGGAAATTAAGCAGAAGAAGAGATTAACCCTTAGTGCTCACTTGGGGGTTTATTTGGGCGTTATTTCTTTGAAGTCAATAAAAATACATTGAAACGCATTTAAAACATATTTACTGTAAAAAATAGGACTTTAAATTTATTACTTTAATAGGTTGGTTTAAAAAATAATAAATGGACCCTAAACAAAATTTAGAAACCAATTTTTAAACAATTGAGTCATAAATATCAGTGACTGAAACTCACCCCAGCATTATCCATTCATTAAAAATGCCAATATCGTTTGGGGGATACAAACTTTCTTAAAATTTAACAAGTAAAAAAGCAGTAGGTTCGGCCGGGCCGAACTTTGAATACCCTCCACCATTTGGAACGAATTAGAAAATTTTCAAAAAATAAAATCCATTAAAAATTCAGTTAAAATTTTTAAAATATCGGAAGGTGCCAATATATGGGAACCTATATAGACAATTACCTTTCAGGGGTTAAAGTGCTCACCAAGAACTCCTTGTGTGGATTTTCAGACAATACCATAGGAAAACATGGCTAAAATCATTAAAATACCGAATATGGGGGATACCGTTATATGGGGGATATGCGATATCGTTAACCTATATAGAGAATTCTCTGTCAGGGGGTAAATTGCTCACAAAGAACCTCTTGTATAAAATTTAAGACAATTCCGTTGAAAAATTTAACTAAAATCATCAAAATACCGAATATCGGGGGTACCGTTTTATGGGGGGCTAACGATATCGTGGACCTATATAGATAATTTTCTTCCAAGCGATAAAGTACTCACAATGAACTCCTCGTGTGGAATTTCAGACAATTCAGTTGAAAAATGTGGCTGAAATCATCAATATACCGAATATCAGAGGTACCGTTATATGAGGGCTATACGATATCGTGGACCTATATAGACAATTCTCTTCCGAGGTATAAAGTACCCACAAGGTATTCCTTGTGTGGATTTTCAGACAATTCCGTTGAAAAATATGGCAAAAATCATCAAAATACCGAATATCGGGGGGTACCGTTATAATGGGGTTATACGATATCGTGGACCTATATAGACAATTCTCTTCCGAGGTATAAAATACCCACAAGGTATTCCTTGTGTGGATTTTCAGACAATTCCGTTGAAAAATATGGCAAAAATCATCAAAATGCCGAATATCGGGGGGGTTATACGATATCGTGGATCTATATAGAAAATTCTCTTTCAAGGGATAAAGTACCCACGAGGAACTCCTTGTGTAGATTATCAGACAATTCCGTTGAAAAATGTGGCTAAAATCATAAAAATGCCGAATATCGGGGGGGTTATACGATATCGTGGATCTATATAGAAAATTCTCTTTCAAGGGATAAAGTACCCACGAGGAACTCCTTGTGTAGATTATCAGACAATTCCGTTGAAAAATGTGGCTAAAATCATAAAAATACCGAATATCGGGGGGTACCGTTATATACGATATCGTGGACCGATATAGCCCATCTTCGGACTTAACCTGCCTGCAGACAAAAGAGGGATCTGTGCAAAATTTTAGCTTCCTATCTTAAGTCGTTTAGACTGTAGCGTGATTACAACAGACGGACAGACGGACGGACATGGCTAAATCGTCTAGAATTTTACGCTGATCAAGAATATATATACTTTGTTGGGTCTAAAATGATTATTTCGATGAGTTACCAACGGAATGACCAACTTAATATACCCTCCATACTATGTATGGTGGAGGGTATAAAAAAGGATTTTGGCATCATCGACTGCTGAATTTTATAGTTCATTATGAAAAGCCAAAATTTGTTATAATGCTTTTTTGTCCGGATCTTCAAGGATAAAATTTGGATATTCGTGGGTTAAATTCTACTGCCATTAAATAATTTCAACGGCACATCTTTAATATCTTCAAACGCATAAATATCCTTAAATGTAGATAACAATTCCAGATGATAACCGAAGAAACGGAACAAAGGTTGGTCTGCAATTTCCCCTCTTATCTTCCCTCCTCCCCCTCATTCCTTCAGGGGTTGGTTGTAACAATGATTTATGATAGAAAATCAGCTAATGTTTTTAACAAATATGAAGACACTTTTGTATCTTCTGTTGTTGTTATTTCTGCTATTTTATTTATTTTCCTATGGCTGCTGATGGCAGATAAAATGATGATGATGACTGACTGGTATGCCCGAAGCTCTTTCATTATTTGTTATTTATTTTCGTTTTACTGTCTTCGAGATTTTGAAAAAAGTAATGGGATGGAGGATGAGTTAAGCGAAGATGAGTTTAAAAAATGTTTTGTTCAGTTCTAAAGGGATTATAAAGTTTTTCAAGTTAATATTCGGAAGCATATTTATTTTGGGAAAGCAAAAAGCAAAGATTGGCTAGATTTGAATAGAACACAAATATAATTTAAAACCAATAAAAAATTTGAGCAATTGAGATATATAGAAAAAAAATATTTAATAATTTTAATGGAGAGTATAATCGAACAAAAGCCGGAGAAACAGAACTTTTAAAAAATCAACAATATTGACAGGCATATAGATAGATTTACAATTGATAGAACGGTGGATTAGAGATGCCAATTTGATTTTTTGTTAAAACAAGTAAGTAGTGCGGGGTCTACCATGTGATTTCCAACAACACTATAATGAGTTGGGAAAACCTCCTTAGATCCAAACACATTTTAGTGGATTATTTGAAGTAATGTCATACTGTCCTGCAGAAATCTTACCTCTGATTTTTTACCGAGGATATTTTCCTTATGTTTACCCTCTATGTCGAGTTGAAAGGTATACAAAATAATTTAGGCTTTAATTCTGACCCTAATTATATCTCCATGCAAAATTTCTTGAGAATCGGACAATAATTGCGACTTGAATATACCACTCCCAAAACATAGCGTAGTAAGGTGAAAAATATTACCAAACACATAATTCAATATCGTAAGTCGAATATGAAAAAATCTCATGCGATAAAAATTATGACAAACAAGTAAAAAAGCTGTAATTTCGGCCGGGCCGAACTTTAAATACCCTCCACCATTTGGTACAAATTTGGCAATTTCCGAAAAAAATCCGTTAAAAATTCTGTAAAAAACTTAAAAGTGCCAAATGCTTATACGACGACGTGGACCTGCACAGGCAACTTCTGTCATAAGTTATTACAATATTTAAATGCGAAACTTGAAGAAAAATCTGTTTATAATGTAGCTCAAATCATCAAAATAACGAATATACCCTCCATAGTATGGTGGAGGGTATAAAAATAAAAATAAAAAATAAAAAATATATTCAGTTTTTTATTGGCATATTTTCACGCGATTTTCTTCGATTTTATCCTTTTCTGGCAAGAGGGCATTTCGAATTTGTGGGAATTGTCCAAATCCATCTAGCCGTTCTTGAGTTATAAGCGGTCTAACTAACATTCACTTCATTGATATATGAGATTGTATATATTTTGCTATATATCGGATATCTTGGATATGAGCATCAATGTAACGGTCAGAACTCACATTTTCGTGCATTTGTGATTCTGCCAGGATTAAAAATATTCGCGGTTTAGTGGAAATTTTCGTTTTTTTACATAAAATATGTAGTCTACTTTACCCGCTAAATATTGTCCGATAACCAAACAATAAGGTAGCCCCATGTTAAATTCCGTGTCGATTGGTCTATTATTGCGACCTGTACAGCAAAAGCAAAATCACTGAATTTTTCTGTTTTTGGTCCATTTCAATCCCTAAATATTATGCGATAACCTCCAAAAGCAATGGGCTTCTATTCTGACCCTAGCCCCACCTCTATGCTAATGTTCCTGAGGATCGGCCTATAATTGCGACCTGTAGAGTGATTACAAATTAACATGAACGTCTGTCCATACATAGCAGGACGGGCAGACATACGTAGCTGGATCGACTCAGCTCGGCGAGACATATCGCAATATTCCATTCGGCAAGTATTGAAAAATGAGCTCGGAGTAAAGCCATTGAAATTCCAAAGTGCAAGAACTGACATCGCAACAGAAAGAAAATAGGCTCAAAAGAGCTAAAGAGTTGCTTCGCTTGGCCGAAAGTGGTGAACTGCCGAATTTTTGTTTTCTCCGTTTGTAAACAAACAAAATGATCGTGTTTACTTGCCAAAGAGGTCAGCTGAAAATGTGCACCTTCGGTTGGCCACCAGAACTCAAGCGCCGGCCATGGTGATGGTGTGGGGAGCCATTTTTATCAGAATAAATGTCGAATATTATCACGAAAATATTCTGAAGGGTGTATTAAAGCCTTGGGCACGTAAACATTTTGGCCGCAGACCTTGGATATTCAAATAGGACTCAGCACCATCGTACTAAGCACTCGCCACCCAAGAATGGTCTTAAAATGAGGTTCCTCGCTTCATTTCCAGCTCACAATGGCCACCAAAATCGACGGATACCAATCCGTTGAACTATTGTGTCTGGAGTATTTTGGAAAGTAAAGTTGACACTAAAAAATACCAAAGTGTCGATCACCTCAAGCAAGCGCTTTGCCGGGAATGGGCCAAAATACCGCAGAGCTACATTCGAGCAGCTTGTGACGGTTTCATTGGTCACTTGAAGGCCATAATTCGCGCCAAAGGTGACCAATTCGAACAAATCTGAATTTATTCTAAAATTCGATGCTGTTTCCGACATTTTTTGCTTTTATTCGATAAAATTTAAGAAGAGGGTAAAAATTATGGACTTTGACTTTGTTGCATTTTTTTATCTCACCCTGTAAAATGTTTGTATGTGTGAAAGTTGAAGAGAGTTGGATGCTTACTTGACTTTCTTTGAGAGTTTCTTTTTTCCAAAATTTGGAACCCTATGTGGGGGAGGTGCTAGAAGAAATGGTCCGATCTGTACCATCTTTATAACAAATATTATGTTTATGGAAATATTGAGATGTCCGAATGGAATCGGATGTTAAATTAGCATTTTATGAGCTTCATAGTTAATCAAAATTTTGACCCTTTGTGCGGGAGGTGCCAGAAGTAGTGGACCGATATATTCCATCTTCACACCAGAACCTGAGTTAGTGAAAATAATGGGATGTGTGATATATGGAGAGAACCGGATGCTTATTTCGGATTTTATGATCGTTTTGGTCATTCAGAACTTTGATCCTTTTGCGGGGGGAGGTACCAGAAGAAATGGTCCGATCTCTACCATTTTTATAACAGATCTTGTGCTGATAGAAATATTGAGATGTGTCAGGTCGAAATGGAATCGGATGGTAATTTCGTGTTTTATGAGCTTCATGAATAAAAAAAATGTCCCTTTGTGGGGGAGGTACCAGAAGAAGAGGACCGATATATCCCATCTTCATACCAGACCATGAGTTAATACAAATATTCTGATGTGTGTAATTTGAAGACAATCGGACGAATGCATCACATTTTATAAGAGTTATAATTATTCACAATTTTAGGCCTTTGTGGAGGAGGTATTTGATGGAGTAGACCGATATTTTCCATTTTCGCACCTTACCTAGCACTGATTCAAATATTATGATATGCAAAGTTGGAACAAAATCGGTTTATTCGTTCTCTTTCTGTGCAGTAAATAATTTTCTTTGAAAATTTCGATCTTTTGTGAGGGAGGAGGAGTGGACTAATATTGACCATCTACGAACTCTATGTAAATTTAACAAAACTATTACAATGTACCAAGTTTGAATCAAATCGAATACTCCATTCAAGAGTTATCGTGCCAGAAGCTCCTTGGCAAGAAAGTGCTTAAAAAATTCGATGGTACCGGTTTCCTGTTGTTTCCGTTTGAGAGTTATCGTGCCAAAAGCTCCTTGACAAGAAGGTGCTTAAAAAATTCGATGGTACCGTTTTCCTGTTGCGAGTTTCAAATTCCAAATTAAAAAAATATATATTTAAAAATTTGGCTAAAACACCAAAATTCCAAATATTTGGAAGCACCACCTCCAATAGGGGCCTGAACCTGCCTACTGACCAAATACACATATATGCAGACAGACGGACATCGCCAAATTGACTTGGAATTTTACGCTGCTCAAGAATATAAACATTTTGCTTTTGGGTCTAACAGGAGTATTTCAGGTTTTACAAACGAAATTAAACATTTAATATACCCTTCGTAGTATGGTGGAGGGTATAATAAAGCCTACACCAACTATTGATGACATTTTGAGATTTAGTTCAAATTTTATGAATTTGGATGTTATAGTTACTGACTTTCAACGGCATACCTTCCACTTTATTATAAAATAAACATTTGATAATTTTCCTAAAAAAAAATTCATTGAAAACCAAAATGGAGCCTCTTATTGGAGAGCCTACCAGAAAACCTGACCTGAACTCCGCATTGTGACCCTTTATTGGGAAGAATATGAACAGGACTAGACCCAGGCTAATCATCTTCCTTTAAGAGACATGTCCTGAAATGGGTGTCGTTCAAATAGAACTAGGGTCGATGAAAAACATTTTGGCCACATACATATACCCTCCGTACACTTGAAGCTGGGGGTACAAGAAATGTTGGCCGGTTTTAAGATCTCTACAGAAGAATTCATTAATTAGAATATCATGGATTTATTTCATCTGGTCCAATATTTTCCAAAAAAAAATGGCTTCCATCAAAAATTGTAAAGTTCAAGCTTTCTTCGATATTTTTCTTAAATTGTCTACAAGCATAAACTTTTCCCAAATTGTAATTAGACTGCGATGGAAATTTTCCAAACCCCATCTACGAAATTTCCATTAGCATCAAACATAATTGCCATTATCCTAACCCCTTTTGCTTAACTGCTCCGCAACAAATTTACGCAGAGTTTTCCAAGACAAATAGCAAACTTATTAGATAAACATTAAAAACTCGTCTTTAATATGAATGCCTATTACCCAGTCTTCGTTTAATATGCAACCACCTCGACACCACCACCACCTTTTCTTTGCCCTGCTTAATGGCATTCTTTGGTATTTCAAAAGCATTCATCCGTTGAGAATTCTTTAATTGAATTCAATAGTTACCCCCGCCTGGAAAAAAAATCGAATGAAACGAGCGAACGAACGAACGAGCGAACTACACACGTTTCACTTGTGATGATTTACAACAACAGCAATAATGCCAGCCAGCCAAACTCTATCTCCAGCTGGTTGTCCCAGTCACCACCGCCATCAGCCAACCTTCAGCATCGCTCGACATTATCTTCAATCTCTTTGTGAATGGCGAATGGCCATTAAACTAAAAGATAATGTTTAATGAAGCTCCATAATTACCCAGCTACGAAAAAAAAGGGACGATGACGGCAAACACAAACACAACAACATTTCACACACACACACACATACACTCACACATTCATATATATGTATGTACTGCTCATATACGCATACAAATATTCTTTACAATTTAAAATGACTGATGCTCCCATCGATCCCCCCGACTAAAGGGAGCAGTGATGCTGCTGACGTTGGCTTTGGCTGGCAAAGTTCAGCAGCAACAGTCAGTCAGTTGGGTTTGAAGCCAAACGACAGCATCCAACCATTCACCAATACAGCCACAACGCAAACGTCAACAAACAAAGCGTAAAACTCAGTCAAGTGGAAGTTATGCTGGAAACAAAATATGAACTGATTGTAAATCATAAAAACTAAACAAAGACCCATTAAAAGTCCTCAAAATTCCCCACAGAGAAAGAGAGAGAGAGAGGGGAGGGGAGAGAGAAAGCAAAAGATAGTAAAATGTAAATAGCTTGGGGAGGTGGGGAGCAGCATCATTTAAGTCATAAATTTTAATTACCTTTAAAAAGTAATAACCAATTTTCCCTTTCCCCTCCTCTTTCTCTTTCTCCCTTTCAGTGAATCATCCGCCCAAACCTTACCCTACCTCCCAGCCGTTTCCAATGACCCAGACGAGTTGGAAAGCCTGGAATTATTTAAATTACCCACAATTCTCCCCGGCACTGGACCACCGGGTCTCTATGAAGTTGAGGTATTGGAAAGGGCACGCAAACGCTGGGCCTTTGCCAAGGCCCTAAAGGAGAACTTTCGCCAACAGCTGGCTCAAGCCAGAGAAGAGCAAATCAAGTTACCACCCCATGATCACATTCTCGAGGCATTCGAATGGGAGCATTGGATTGAACGTGAAGAGAATATACAAGAATGTCAAATGCTACGCTTGGAAATTCTCATTCGCATGTTTGATCAGCGAGAGAGGGAAATGCGCAGTGCCTCTCATCTGAGGATACAGCAAAGTTGTGCCCGAATTGAGGCACAACGTCAGGCAGCTTTGAGGAAAAATGAAACTGAATTTAATCGAGCCATGCGTCGCCTTGAAATGCAGCACAAAAAGCAGCCCCGACACTGGCGTAAGGAACACATTAGCCAGGGATTTGGTGATCCCACCTCGGAGTTTTATGCCCCTAAAATACGTCATGGTATTGATCCGAGTAGGCGTCACTTTGTGGCTTCACGCAAAGGTTTCGATATGCGTATGGATGATTTAGAAAGGAAAACTGTGAAAATGGATCCGCGCAACTTGAAGTGTCCCTTTGCCAAATTACGTTCTTGGTCCAAACCCAAGGAGCTGGTGCAAGAGGTGGAACAGAATTTCTGCTCGGAAAATAATCTAAAGAAACTCTATGAAAGTTTGAGGGTGAGCACAATAAACATAGAGAAAAAAAATTTTATAGCAAAAACAACTTCGACCAGAGGTCCGCAAGAATTTTTTTCTATAGAAAAAACTTGGACCAGAGGTCCCGAGAATTTTTTTCTATAGAAAAAACTTGGACCAGAGGTCCCGAGAATTTTTTTCTATAGAAAAAACTTGGACCAGAGGTCCCGAGAATTTTTTTCTATAGAAAAAACTTGGACCAAAGGTTCCGAGAATTTTTTCCTATAGAAAAAACTTGGACCAAAGGTCCCGAGAATTTGTTTCTATAGAAAAAACTTGGACCAAAGGTCCCGAGAATTTTTTTCTATAGAAAAAACTTGGACCAAAGGTCCCGAGAATTTTTTTCTATAGAAAAAAACTTGGACCAAAGGTCCCGAGAATTTTTTTCTATAGAAAAAACTTGGACCAAATGTCCCGAGAATTTTTTTCTATTGAAAAAATTTGGACCTGAGGTCCCGAGAATTTTTTTCTATTAAAAAAAATTGGACCTGAGGTCCCGAGAATTTTTTTCTATTGAAAAAAATTGGACCTGAGGTCCCGAGAATTTTTTTCTATTGAAAAAAATTGGACCTGAGGTCCCGAGAATTTTTTTCTATTGAAAAAAATTGGACCAGTGGTCCGCAAGAATTTTTTTCTATAGCAAAATAATGTGGACCTGAGGTCCGCGAGAATTTGTTTCTATAGAAAAAACTTGGACCAGAGGTCCCAGAGAATTTTTTTTCTATAGAAAAAACTTGGACCAGAGGTCCCCGAGAATTTTTTTCTATAGAAAAAACTTGGACCAGAGGTCCCCGAGAATTTTTTTCTATAGAAAAAACTTGGACCAGAGGTCCCCGAGAATTTTTTTCTATAGAAAAAACTTGGACCAGAGGTCCCCGAGAATTTTTTTCTATAGAAAAAACTTGGACCAGAGGTCCCCGAGAATTTTTTTCTATAGAAAAAACTTGGACCAGAGGTCCCCGAGAATTTTTTTCTATAGAAAAAACTTGGACCAGAGGTCCCCGAGAATTTTTTTCTATAGAAAAAACTTGGACCAGAGGTCCCCGAGAATTTTTTTCTATAGAAAAAACTTGGACCAGAGTTCCCAACGAATTTTTTTTTTATAGAAAAAACTTGGACCAGAGGTCACCGAGAATTTTTTTCTATAGAAAAAACTTGGACCAGATGTCCCCGAGAATTTTTTTCTATAGAAAAAACTTGGACCAGAGGTCACGAGAATTCTTTTCTGTGGAAAAAACTAGGACCTGTTGGAATTGGACCCTCGGAATTGTTTTCTTTGACTTTGTCCGAGGAGATAATGTTTCCTTTACTTTGCTTTTTATTTCAGGTTCTACGTGAAACTAGTAATAGACCCAAAACCACACCCCTGTGTCTGAAAGCTAAAGAAAAACCCACGGAAGAAGGTCCACAAGAAAGTCCATCACCTCGCAGCACTAGAGTCACAATTACAGATGAAGTTGCCGCCTATGAATATCCCATGGAGGAGAGTTCCACAGAGGGCTCCGACGTTCGTAGGCTTCGCGAAGAACAGGAATATCAAGAATATCTACAAGAAGTACGCCAGGAAAAACAAAACGAACGACAGCTACGCGAACACCTGCAACGTGAGATGGGCAAGGAAGAATTCGAGGTCCTGATCCAAGCCTATGAAGGCAATACAATTGGCTGGCTAATGCGTTTCCTTTCGGAAGAAATGAGTCGGCTTAAGGAGCAAAGGAAATTGCATTTCTATACCATGCTTGCGAAACGCGAACGCTGGCATCGTGAGGCCGCCGAGGCTGGCCTTCGACAAAAGGAGAATGTAATGCGCGACACCTATGAGAAAATTTATCAGGAGTGTAACCAAACAAATTTTGAAATGTCGGAAAGATATATTCAATCCATATTGGAGGAAGATATTAGGGATTTTGCGGAACAGCAAGCCGAAAATCATGTGGTGACACAGGCCAAAGAGTTGGATAAGGAAATTTGTGGCTGGCTGAGATCGATAGAGGATGTTCAAACTCCCATGAATTATCATCAGCTGAGACATGCTTTGAGAGATATTGCCATACCCGATGTGGAGAATATTCTCCATCGCTTGGAGAGGGATAATTGTGTGCGGTATATTATTAATGAGGTCCTTTTGCCTCAGGTCTATGAGCAACTGGAATCCTATGACGTGTCCTTTTCCGTTGCAACAAATTTCATTGACCGTTTGATTGACACGGATCTTCATCGAAGTTCCTCGGAGGGATGTTGTTCGGAATGTGAATGTTCGGCTTACTGTTCGTGTAGTGGAGCTCAAAAAGAAGCCAGGGCAATTTTGAGGAAACTTATACGGCACTCTGTCCCAGGCAGACGATGGCGTACCTCAACGGAACGAATGGTGGATGAAAATGTCAAGGATATTTTAGATGAGGTCTTTGAGAGAGTTATTGCCAAGGGTGACAACGCCGAATTGGACATGATGGAAGCAGAACAAAAATTCTCCTACCTCGATTTGGGTGGTGGCCAAATGAGAGAATCATATTTTTCAGATGCCTCTCAGGATGGTGGAAGTATTGGATCCCAGGATTATTGCAAAATTAAAACCCTGGGAGAATTGCCTCCAACCGAACTTGAAGATGTTACCAAGACCCTAGAGAGAGAAGAACAGCTTTTGTTGGCCGATACAGATCAAATATCTGCCGATAAATTTATAATGACCATGGATAAATATGCAAGTCCGAAACAGAAACCCAATCCACCCATTGTCCATCCCATACCGAGTACCCATGATATTTCTAGTGTTTGGGATTTTGATAAAACTCCCAACTATTGTCGTACCTCTTCTGATGATGGAGTGGAGGAAGTACCAGAAGAGAGTTCCAAACAAGAAGATATTGACTTGGAATCGATAGAAATATCCTCTTCCCATGGAGACTATGAGGGGAAAATTGAGGAAGAATATACCGAAGAAGAAAACACACATCCAAGTGAGTTGGGTCCCAGAAAAATCGATTCGCAAGTGCATTTTGATGATCATCCCAAAGTGGAGGAGATAATCGAACCAGTGCAATCCCAGAGTGAGGATGATGAAATCGTTGCTGATGATGACGATGTTGTTGGTGTTATACCCGTGGCATTTTCCTATGATCCCACTGTCAAATTTACCGTCCCAGTACCGTCCAATTTTGAAATGACAATGGAACGTCATTCGGATGAAAAAGAAGAGAGTGAGGAGATGTGAGCGGGAGAAATATAATAAATTAGTTTTATTTTTAATCATTTTGAAATAATAAATATATTTTATTTTTGAGAACACATCATTAAACATAAAATGTTTTGTTATGAAGTCCAGCGAATCTTTTTCCCATAGAAAAAAATCGGACCTGATGTCCTGTGGATTTTTTTTTATAGAAAAAAAATCGTTACCTGATGTCCTGTGGATTTTTTCCTATAGAAACAAAATTGGGACCTGAGGTCCTGTTGATTTTTTCGTATAGAAACAAAATTGGGACCTGAGGTCCTGTGGATTTTTTCCTATAGAAAAAAATTGGGACCTGAGCTCCTGTGGATTTTTTCCTATAGAAAAAAATTGGGACCTGAGGTCCTGTGAATTTTTTCCTATAGAAAAAAATTGGGACCTGAGGTCCTGTGAATTTTTTCCTATAGAAAAAAATTGGGACCTGAGGTCCTGCGAATTTTTTCCTATAGAAAAAAATTGGGACCTGAGGTCCTGCGAATTTTTTCCTATAGAAAAAAATTGGGACCTGAGGTCCTGCGAATTTTTTCCCATAGAAAAAAATTGGGACCTGAGGTCCTGCGAATTTTTTCCCATAGAAAAAAATTGGGACCTGAGGTCCTGTGAATTTTTTCCTATAGAAAAAAATTGGGACCTGAGGTCCTGTGAATTTTTTCCTATAGAAAAAAATTGGGACCTGAGGTCCTGTGAATTTTTTCCTATAGAAAAAATTGGGACCTGAGGTCCTGTGAATTTTTTCCTATAGAAAAAAATTGGGACCTGAGGTCCTGTGAATTTTTTCCTATAGAAAAAAATTGGGACCTGAGGTCCTGTGAATTTTTTCCTATAGAAAAAAATTGGGACCTGAGGTCCTGTGAATTTTTTCCTATAGAAAAAAATTGGGACCTGAGGTCCTGCGAATTTTTTCCCATAGAAAAAAATTGGGACCTGAGGTCCTGTAAATTTTTTCCTTTAGAAAAAAATTTGGACCTGAGGTCCTGTGGATGTTTTCCTCAAAAAAAATTAGGACCTGTGAGGTTCGGTGGATTTTTTCCTATAGAAAAAAATTGGGACCTGAGGTCCTGTGAATTTTTTCCTATAGAAAAAAATTGGGACCTGAGGTCCTGTGAATTTTTTCCTATAGAAAAAAATTGGGACCTGAGGTCCTGTGAATTTTTTCCTATAGAAAAAAATTGGGACCTGAGGTCCTGTGAATTTTTTCCAATAGAAAAAAATTGGGACCTGAGGTCCTGTGAATTTTTTCTTATAGAAAAAAATTGGGACCTGAGGTCCTGTAAAAAAAATTGGGACCTGAGGTCCTGTGAATTTTTTCCTATAGAAAAAAATTGGGACCTGAGGTCCTGTGGATTTTTTCCTACAGAAAAATATTTGGACCTAAAGTCCTGTGAATTTTTTCCTATAGAAAAAAATTGGGACCTGAGGTCCTGTGAATTTTTTCCTATAGACAAAAAATTGGGACCTGAGGTCCTGTGAATTTTTTCCTATAGACAAAAAATCGGAACCTGAGGTCCTATGATTTTTTCCCTATAGAAAAAGATTGGGGCCTAAGGTCCTGTGGATTTTTTCCTATAGAAAAAACTTGGTCCTGACGGGGCCTGCGATTTTTTTATCGAAAAAACATGGTTCTGACTACCTGCGAATTTTTTTCTATAGAAAAAACTTGGTCCTCGCGTCCTGCGAAATCGTATCTGATGTCCTGTAGATTTTTTCCTATAGAAAAAAAAAGGGAACTGATGTGGACCCGATGAAATCCACAGGACCTCATCAATTTTCAATAGAAAAAAAACTGGAAAAAATGTTGGACCTGAGTCCTGCGTTTTTTATAGAAAATTTTCAGTTTCAAAACCCTACAAATTTTTTCTATTGAAAAAAAATTTGACCTGTGGTCTTGCTAAAATTAAACAGTTATGACTCACCCTTAATGGCCTTCCTCAGCGTCAGCAAACTTGAGCGTATTGTATTGAGCAAAACATTAAACCGTACCATTTCCTGTACCAAAACCGTATTCATGCTCTGATGATAGCTAGTGGGATATCGGGCCAATGCTGCATCACGATCAAAATCCTTTGGCAAACGTTCCAAAATATCGGTGGCAACATTTATGACAACCTCCTCGGGTGTTAAACGTTCGCCGGCTCCCTCACCATCATCTGCCGCCGCTGAGGTGTCCTTTTGTAAATAGTAGAGGGATATAAATTCAGGAGATGTGGGACAATTTGGTAGCAGTAGATTTTCGGGGAAGCGTTTCGATAGTGTCTCGATGTAATGCGGTTGAGATTTTTGTAGTAACTGTGGGTTGGTGGGCAGGGGGTGTCAAATGTAAAGTATTAGAAATATGTCTATTGAGGAATGTTTTGAAGTGGACAGCTTACCCTTTTCTCGTGTAGATCCTAGGTGAGGTTGTTTTGGGGAGAGATGTGTTAATAGTTCGTGGAGAGAAACTTATTTTACAAAAGTTAAAACTTACCACACGATCCTGTTATGCATGTCAGAGTAAATAATTGGTTTTTGAGTATTTAAGCAATATTTTAAGGTATTGTAAGTGCGTAACTGTTAGTCATGAATGGGTTGATATTATCTACAGAGGTGTAGAGCCAGTTGAAAAGAATTCTGTGGAAGTTTCTACAGATGATTTGAAGACCGGTCCCTATAGACGAGATAACTAGTCGAAGTCTTGATAGGACTAGAAAGTCTCCATTATAAGGGACCTATGAAGACTTCTTCATAGGAGCCTATAAAGACTCCTTTATAAGGGCCTATGAAGACTCCTTCATAGTTGCCTATAAAGACACCTTTATAGGAGCCTATAAGGACTCCTTTAAAGGAGCCTATAAAAATTCCGTCCTAAAAGCCTATAAAGACTTCTTTATAGGATCCTATAGACTTCTTTATAGGAGCCTGTAAAGACTCCTTTATGGGTGTCTATAAAGACTCCTTTATAGGATCCTATAAGTACTCTTTTGAAGGAGCCTATAAACACTCCTTAATAGGATCTTATACAGACCCCTTTATAGGAGCCTATACAGACTCCTTTATAGCAGCCTATAAACCCTCCTTTACAGGAGCCTATAAAGACTGTTTTAAAGGAGCCTATATAGATTCCTCTATAGGATCCAATAAAGACTCGTTTTTAGGAGCCTATAAAGACTCCTTTATAGGAGCCTATAAAGACTTCTTTATAAGAGTCTATAGACTCCTTTATAGGAGCCTATAAAGACTCCTTCAAAGGCCTTCAAAGACCCTCTATATGGGAACCTTAAAAAACTCTATCATAGGAGACTCATTCCCTGTAAAGACTCATTTATAGGAGCCTATAGAGGCACCTTTATAGGAGCCTATAAAGACTCCTTTATAGAAACCTATAAAGACTCCTTTGTAGGAGCCTATAAAGACTCCTTTGTAGAAGCCTATAAAGACTCCTTTATAGGAGCCTATAGGCTTCTTTATAGGAGCCTATAAAGACTCTTTTATAGGAGCATATTAAGAGCCTATGAATTCTTCTTTGTAGGAGTCTATAAGTACTTCTTTATGTGAGCCTATAAAGACTGTCTTTTAAGACTCATTGAAAGAAATTTTTCAGAACTTCTTTATGTATTTCTTGGTCTCATTCTTTTACCCCACACCTCTGTCTCATTATGTTTATATCCCTCAACTCACCTGTGTCAACAATGTATGACTCAGCAACATATCCGTCTCCTGTTGATCCTTCATAATATCCGCATTGGCATGAAAACCAAATATAGCCGGTACCGTTTGCTGTGGCAGCTCTTTAGTATATGTCAAATAGTTCTCCACCTCCTTATACACTGGTATATAATAAATCTGCTTATCATCAAAGAAAAACGGTGTCTCCATATCTAAAACCTCCGGGCAATAGTAGCGATTCAGCAAAGTTTTCAACGTTCGACGATCCCAATCATCCGTTACACGGCCGCCATAATTACACTCCCCAGTGAGGTAACGCAGGGCATCATAATTTACACCCTCATACTGATCCAAGAACATTTTCAGTTGCATCAAACTTATCCGTAGGTCGGTCTCATTGAACTCATACGGTATATTCCAACCAATCGGCCCGAAATACCTTCTCTCCTGAATCACAGCATGGAAGAAGCACAACGAGTAGATCAGTTGTTTGAAAGTCTGATTCTGTTTGCACGACTCATACCACTCCGGATCGGAAATGGGGTCGGATAGCATGGATCGTGTAATGTTCGATCTCAATCCCTTTGGCGGTTCATTGGTCATTTTTATGCCATTTTGTAGAACCACAACGGGGAAATGTTCGGCTGGGTATGAAGTCAGCCAGAGGCGAAAATCAGGATGTGTGGAGTCGGGAACCATTCCTTCACATATTTTCTCCAGGGTGGGCATAAAACTCTTTGCCAAATGGCAATTTTGTAACACCACCCAATTGCCCTGCTTAACGCCTTCCTCTATCATTTTCACTGCAATGGGGCCCTGACCTTGACCCAGCGACAAAGAAAACAAACGATTCGAACCAAAACCTTGCTCATCCGCAAATTTCAGCAGTGTAGCCGTGGGATCCGAGCCTGGTGTTAAAATAAATATCAACGGAATACAACAATGGGAATCTCCAAAGGAGGCAGCCAAATCAAATTGCGGAGGATCAACAAATTTCTCTCCCATTTCCAGGGCTACAAATTTCAATATGGCCGGCACCAATTTATCGGGACGAAACACCCGCAGCAATAACAGCTTTTCCAACATCAACATTTTATCCCAGGGCTTTGGTAGAGTTTCGAAATAATGTGGTATATCGGATTCGAAAAATTGTTTCCACTCGTCTAAATTTTCGGTGAAATTTTCCCGAAGTCCCTTGAAGTGCTGCAACTCCGCCAGACGACATAGTTCATTCCAACTTTGTATGCCCAACCATTTGGCGGGATTCTTGTGGGGGTTGTCTAGACCAATTCCACCGGTCAGTAAAAACATCCATTCGCTGTTGTCAATCCGGCCCTCGGCTTTCATTAAATTGATATTCAGGATGAGAGAGAATAATAGCTTATCCTATAATGAGAAGAAGGAAATTGAGATTTTTAAGTTTTTTAGAATTTTTAAAGCATTCGCAAGGAGCTTAGAGATTTGTATTAAGATCAGGGACCGGCAACCAATGTATGAGCAATAGTTTTCACACAAATTCGACCGATGTAGGAGTAATTTTCGCTTTCTCTCTCTCTCCCTTTCTCTCTCTCTCTCTCTCTCAATGAATATTGAGAATAGCTGTCGATCTCTCATTGAACATCGAGGTGTGTGTTTACGTTTTTCATTTAATCATGAACAGCTATCTGTTGAACCTTAGTCAGCATTTAATGAGAAAACGCAAACTTGTTAAAAGTTGAGGAGGGTAACGCTGCCTATGGTGCGTATGAGCATTTAGTTTTGTAACCAATACGCCCCAGGAGCTTTTACAAAAAATAACATAATATTCAAATAAATTCGGTATAACTTTTAAATATATAAAATTTAATTAGAGGGTGAGATAAAAAAAACTGTAACAAAGTCAAACGGCAAAATTTTTTTTTTTTGTTTTTTTTTTTTTTTTTTTTGAATAAAAGCAAAAAGTCGGAATTAGCATAAAATTTTAGAAACCGTTTAGATTTGTTCGAATTGGTCATCTGTGGCACAAATTATTACCTTCAAACGGCCAATGAAACCGTCACACACTGCCCGAATGTTGCTCTGCGGTATTTTGGTCCATTCCCGGCGAAGCGCTTGCTTGAGGTGATCGACACTTTGGTATTTTTTAGTGCCAACCTTGCTTTCCAAAATACTCCAAACACAATAGTCCGACGGATTGATATTCGGAGAATTTGGTGGCCATTGTGCGCTGGAAATGAAGCGAGGAACCACATTTTGTTATTATTCTTGGGTGGCACGTGCTGAGAGCGATGGTGCTCAGTCCTGTTGGAATGTCCAAGGTCTGCAGCCAAAATGTTTGCGTGCCCAAGGATTTAATACACCCTTCAGAATATTTTCGCGATAATATTCGGCATTTATTCTAATGCCACGGTCGATTAATACGAGCGGAGAGCAACTATCGGCTGTTATGGCGGTCCACACCATCACCATGGCTCGCGCTTGAGTTCTGGTGGCCAACCGATGGTGCACATTTTCAGCTGACCTCTTTGGCAAGTAAACACGATCATTTTGTTTGTTTACAAACTGCTGAACAACGAATGATTTCTCATCGGAGAAAACCAAATTCGGCAGTTCACCGCTTTCGGCCAAGCGAAGCAACTCTTTAGCTCTTTTGGGTGTATTCTCTTTCTGTTGCGGTGTAAGTTCTTTCATTTTTTTGGAATGCAATATTGAAATATATTCAGCTCACGAGCTATATATAGAAATCACACTGTCACGCTTAAATTCCATCACGAATAATATTTTTCTGGAAAATTCTCACCAAAATGCTTTTGTATCCTTTTAAACAATATGATGAGTTGTCACTGGAATAATTTTAACAACTGTCGGACGAATGGCTTAGAAATTACAGCAGTTTGAAATTGGTTGCAGTTTTTTCATCTCACCCTGTAAGTATTAAAAATTGTGAACCTGTGTGGCTACAGTTACGGAAGGGATTGGTAGATATATATCATCTTCACAACAGATCTTGCTATAGAAAGTTGAAGATCTTGAAGAGAATTGGGTGCTTATTTTGCTCTCTTCGAGCGTTTTGCTTTTCAAACATTTGGAACTCTATGAGAACCACCAGAAAATGGTCCGATCTGTACCATCTTTATAAAAGATCTTGCGTTTAGGGAAATATTGGAATGTACCAAGTCTGAATGGAATCTAATGTTAATTTCGCGTTTTGTAAGCTTCAAGGATATTCAAAATGTTTACCCTTTATGAAGAGGTATCGGAAGAAGTGGACCGATATAACACATTTTCACACTAGACTTTGGGTTAATAAAAATATTATGATGCTTGTAATTTAAAGAGAACCGGATGCCTATTTCGGATTTTATGATCGCTTTGGTTATTCCGAACTTTGACCTTTTGTGTGGGAAGTACAAGAAGGAATGGTCGGATCTCTACCATATTTACAACAGTTTTTTATGTTTATGGAAATATTAAAAATATTAAAAATAAAGTCCGAATAGAATCAGATGTTAATTTTTATATTTAAAATTTTGACTCTTTGTGGGGGAGATACCAGAAGAGGTGAACTGATATATTCCATTTTCACAGCAGACCTTGGGTCCACATATTCAAAATTATTTAACAAAATTCCATGATTTTTTTTTCTTTTTTTTTTTGACAGCATGTCCTTGAAAACTCGTTTTTATGCCACAAAGAATTAATTTAAAAAAAATCTTAATAATTCACAATTGTTGGACATAAAGTTCCCAAGAAAAATCTAAAATCATCCACAATTTTTTGTCAAGAGGAAGAATCTTTTTGGGGAACATTTTTTTTTAAATCCATGTCCTTAATAGTACATGGACTTCCAATTAAGGAAATAATAATAACTTTTAATATAATATTTAAAATACTATTAAAAATTAAAGATTATTGGTAATGAAACCTCCAAAAGATAAATATTTAAAATATCACAGTTCTTGGGCGCAGTTCTCGAAAAAAAAAATAAAAACCCTTCTAAATTTCCGGTTAAAAAGTCGTTGTAATGTTCTCTAAGGAAATTCAAGTTCAATTCAATTCATTCATTTCATAGGAAGACCTTCAAAAAAAAAAAACAAAATTGTTGGCTAGGAATTTTTTATTTCAATATTTTTTATATGATTTTCTTCAGAACATCCAGGATTTGTAGTAAGTCCTTTTCTGAAAACACACATTTTGGTACAAGAAGGCTTTGCAGGAATTTTCTGACATATATCTAAAGACGATTTTCTGGCAACACGTATACCATTTTTCTTCAGGAGACCAATGAGAAGCATTGAAAGATAATTACGAAATCCTGAAATCGTGGTCACAAGTCATTAATTCGTCTTTCCATTTAAAAAAATGATCTAAACTTAATATATATTTTTATACCCTCCACCTTGGAAACATCCTTGAATATTCGTCGTAGACCCCATAAAGTATATATATTCATAATCAGCATAAAATTCTAAGTCGATTTAACGATGTACGTCTGTCTATCTGTCTGTCCGTCTGTCTGTCTGTCCGTCTGTTGAAATCACGATACAGCCCACATTATTTGTCGTAGAGCGCCAAAATTTAGCAGAGCAATTTATATTGTGTCTAGGATGGTTGGTATTGAAAATGAGATATGTCGTCAACGTTCTGGTACAGTCCCCATATAACGGTACCTCCCGATATTCGGTATTTTGATGATTTATGCCACATTTTTTCACGGATTTGTCTGGAAATTGGTATTTGTAGGTCATAACGGGTCCCTGTGCGTGTGGCAAAACATTGCATGTATGGGTTCTCGTTTTGGTATAGCCCCCATATAAAGGTACTTCCCGATATTCTTTTTTTTTTTTGCCACATTTTTTCACGGATTTGTCTATAAATTGGTATTCGTTGGTCATAATGGGTTCCAGCTCCGGTGGCGAAACATTGCATGTATAGGTCCACGTTTTGATATAGTCCACATATAACGGTACCTCCCAACATTCGGTATTGTGATCACTTTTGACACATGTTTTCAAGAATTTCTCTGAAAATTGGTAGTTGTAGATCACAATGGGTCCTAGTTCGTGTAGCGAGTCATTGTAATTATAGGTCCACGTTTTGGTGTAGCCTCCATATAACGGTACCTGCCGATATTGGGTAATTTGATGATTTTTGCCACATTTTTTTACGGATTTGTCTGAAAATTGGTATTTGTAGGTCATAATGGGATCTAGCTCCTTTGCCGAAACATTGTATGTGTAGGTCCACGATTTGGTATAGCCCCAATATAACGGTACCGGCCAATATTGGGTATTTTAATGGTTTTTGCCACATTTCTTCTAATGTTTACTTTACCCTAAGGTGGAGGGTATTAAAAATTTGGTCCGGCCGAAATTAATGTTTTTTACTTGTTTTTTCTGAAATTCGAAGTTTGAAACAAACCCGATATTCCCCTTACATATAGATCAGATTTCTTTCGAAATTTTACCACTTGTAGCTTTCTTATTTGAAGAGTAAATATGTGAGCTTTTTCTCACTTTCCCACTAGATCTAATATTGGCAGGACTACTGGGTATACGAAATTAATTCGTTCAAAATACACCTATTTTTGGGTGGAGGTGCCAGAGAGAGAGTTACCAATTTATTCCATCTTCAATCAAGATCTAATGGGTAAAATTACTGAAATAGCAAGGTTTGAGGGAAATTTGAAAAACCTTTAGTATTTTAGGATTTGTTCTAAAATCTTTAATTGTCGCAATTGTTATTTTCTTGGCAAGAGAAGATGTTAGGAAATGAGTCTCTATTTAATTCTCCCCTAATGTAAATTACGAAATTTCATGGTATGGTTTGGGAAACCTTAAAATTAAGGGTAACATATCCCATAGTTAGGGTCGTACTTGTACGTTTTTTTTTTTTTTTTTTTTTTGATTACAAGTTCAATTCCGAACCACTCAATATTTATTTAAGGAGTTCACCTTCTATTAACAAAGAGATTGTCTGCTACTTCATATTTAAGGTACCATTGTGTGGAAGTCTTTATTATATTTTATTATGAAGTTTATCAAAACTTCATTTTTTACACTTGTTATTCTCCAAAAAAATATGTTTTTTCCTGGTAGTAAAAATCTCCCTTTCCATAACCAAGAATTCACCTTAATTTATTCCCCATCAAAATGAAGTTAATTTGACAGAATTCCAAGCTACGCATTCACGCTTTTTCACGAAAAATTCAAATGAAAACGAACCACATGAAAATATTCTGACAGTAACAAAAGAACAAAAGAAGCTTTGGTTGCCAAAAATTGCAAAGCATAAAAATAAACATGAAATTGAAAATCGATATTGGATCTGAAAATATTCCGTGTGGTGTGCTGAGAAATATAAACGTTGCCACAAACAATATAGGAGGCATTCAGGGATGAAGGTCC